ACATGACAAGTACCACCATTCTCCACGCTAAATATTATATATATCACTTGCAAACACCAACTACTATATTATAAGCAATGTGCGATTTGCCTCGGCCCACAACCATGATGTCCTTGAAATGTTCATTGTACTTCTACCTTCATCAATGCCATCGTGACGCACTCCGAATAATTTTGAGGCATGAGAGAACTGCACCACAATGACCGACAATTGCGTAGCACTACGAACATGTTCGCACCCCTTCACGCTCGCGCGAACAGCTCGCGAACAAGTTCGGGCGAACATGATTTTTTTCCCGTAAAAAATAAATAAAAAAATTGGTTGATTATTTTTCACTGATGATTGGCTACGAATTTGAACATGATTCCAAGACAAAAGTTGCTTGTATTGTTATTGTACATAGCATCAAATGTTTTCAGGTTTTTCTGCTAAACGTTTTTTTTTTTTTTTTTTTTTTTTTTTTTGCTAAACGTTTTTTTTTTTTTTTTTAATGTTTGCGTTCGGAGGGTTTTCGACGCTTATTCACGTTCGGGCAAACATGTTCGCGTTTGCCTCCGAACACGAACACGGTGCTACGTAGACCGACAACAATACTCTACGGACGGGTATAGTTGTGGTTGTACGGTAGCGACTCTCTCTTACAAAAGAACATAAGTTGTCAATTTCACAACAATACAATTATACAATAAATGGTCCGTAGGTGCATCCTGATTTAAAGGCCATCAAGGTGCGCATCCGCAAATTTGTATGCACCTACCGACCGCCACTTTTTATCCTACGTGACAAAAGTTGTGCAGTTCTAAGTTGTCAATACGCTGCCTTTGCGTTCATAAATCTTTTCATGACATTCCCTGACTCCCCGACGACAATGGGTGGTAGTAGTAGGCTACGCGCAAGTGGTATTGGTGGTTCCATGACTCACAAAAAAAAAAAACATAATTGTTTAATGTCAGAACAATATAGATCCGAGTCATGGTCGCTAGGTGCATACTAATTGAAAGATAATCAATGGGTGCATCCCCAAAATTATATGCACCTACCGACCACAACCTTTTGTGCTAAGCAACCTTCCCTGACCTACAACCATAACATATTTCAAACTGTCACCGCATCGTCGCACTTGAAACCGATGTCTTTGTCACACGTTACTAAGAAATATGAGGCACGAAAGCATTGCATCACAATGAGCGGCAGCCATACTCTACTGCCCGGGGTAGTGGTGGTTAGACGATAAGTTGGTGACGACTCTCTCTTACAAAAAAAAAACACAACTTATCATTTCACTACAATAAATGGTCAGTTGGTGCATATTGTTTTAAAGACAATCATTGTGTACATACGCAAATTAATTTGCACCTACCGACCGCCACTTTTATGCTACGTCGTATACCTGCGCTTACAGGCGTGTAGTCTTCTTAATCGTTAATACACTACCCCAGCCTTCATCGATGTATTCATAATGCACCCGAACATTTCAGATGCATGAGACAAGCACACCACAATGCGCGACCCTGGTACACTAGGCCCAAGTGGTCGGTAGGTGCATACTAATTTAGGAACAATCAATGTGTGCATCTATTGGATAGACACTTTTGTTTGGGGGCGCGTTTCCTCCACAGTTTTAGCATGTTCGGCTTGTCGGGAGGAGGGAGGGCGTGCAAAAAGCAAATGCTCATTTCCTCCATGTCTTGTCGTGCAATGGAATTGTGTATGCTTGCTGCGGAGACCACGTGACAACCAATTGAAGGGTGAGGTGGAGGAACCGTATACGAAACGAGTATCCCGTACCGATCACGAACGTGAACGGTGCGGCGATAGAAGTTCATTGGGTGGTCCTCGCTTCACAACCACGATATGCCCAAGATGATGTCAAACTTTGTGTCCAAAATGTCGAAGGACACGGCTTCGCGTGCGTGCGGGGCAAAGTACACACGGGTGCCGCGTCAATGCACCGGTCAATGGACTTGTGCGTGTGACCGTCGGCCAATGTGACTTTTGTGGGTTGCAACTTCCTTCAAACGTGCGGCCCGAGGCAAGCGCGCACCATGAAGTCTTGGTTGATGTCGTTGCAAATAGCTCCACAATCGATGAAGGTGCTGCAGGTCGCCTTTCTGATCTGAATGCGGACATAAAGTAACGGTGTCGGGCGACTGCAGACGAGTCGGCCACCCGAAATAGAGGGATTTGGGGCTTCGACCGGGCACTTAGACAGGATTCTTTAGGTATTCTTGTTGGAAATGTCGGGGAAAATTAGGGGTCCAGAGATGAACTTTGAAATCCCCTTTATCAACTCCCGATATTGACCCTCAAATTCTGAAGATTGGACAACCGGTCCCAACACGCCTAGTGCTTGCCCTTTTTGCCTGATCTGAGGGTGCCTTCGAACCAGCCACCCGTCGAGCTAGGATATGCTAGTAGCCCTTCACGTGGCCTTTTTCGCGCGGACAAGTTGATGGAAAAATGAGGCCTCCGATTTTATCTAGGTTAATGATGAAATTTGACGGGAAAATGAGGCCTCCGATTTTATTATTTAATTTAATGATGAACTTAAAATAAACATAAAATTAAAAATGATTAAAGAAAAATAAAAATAAATGATTATTTTTAATATTTTATTATTTAACTCTTTTTTGCCCAATTATGCTCTCTTTGATTGTAACCCAATTCCTATTTATTATTCATCGCCAGTTTAAACATATTTTATCTAATTAGTATCCCTGACTCGATTCCTATTTATGTGCTCCTTATTGTGGACACACATAACTTAACATACCCCCATGGCTTACTGAGTGACACGTGGGAACTCGGATGGACACATGGTACGAGCACTCAGCAGTTTGGTACAACCGGCAGCTGGTCGGGACCGGAACAGGTGAGACCACTGGTTCGACATTGGTAGAACTCGCAACAGTCTGGTGCTATCATGCATGGAACGACCACTGGTCCGACGTTGGTCTCATACGGTCACTGGTCCGGTACTGCTACGACTCGCTGCAGTCAGGAGTTATTATTTTCTTGGTGTACTTGTTGAGTCGGAAATGGTACAGTTTATTGCCTATCAACGTTGTTATTCCTTGGTACAACACTTGTTGCAGTTCAGGGGCTTGGAACAGTTCGCTCATCCTGAGGGTCCGACAGTTCTAAACTCACGGGGCATTGGTCTAGTGCAGTCAGTCTGAGCCAAAACTCTTGGTACCAATGTTGGGTGACGTCCGGATCTGTGGGCCTGGGAGATAGACAAACAGGTAAGACTGCTATAGCTATCGATACTACATTGAATCTGAAGCAGGTCAATGCAAAAGGTGCCTCTTAGAAAGAAAAGTTGTATTGTATGTATGTAGCAGACCGCCGGTACCGATACTGCCAACAGGCTGAGGGCTAGTGAGCCAGGGGGACGGGGGCCACCCGTATGAGATATAGGGCAGACCATCAGAAGAGGAGGACATTCGGGGATTGAGGCGACCAGGTGGACCAGGGTGCGCTGGAGCGGGCGACCAGGTGGACCAGGGTGTGCTGGAGCGAGTGACCAGGGCGAGCGCTGCCGCAACGTGTGTGACCGTCTCACGAGTTGCTGGCCATGCGAGTTCGCTGGCAGTTGGGAGTGAGGACACTCGAGGAAGGAAGTGAGTGAGAGTGGGAGTGAGAGATAACTAGCAAGACAGGGAAAGTGAAGGCACAGTGAAACGGGTTTTTGACCGTGGTGGGGAAAGCCAAGGGAGTGAGGCGCGGAGAAGACAATGAATACAGCCATGTACCTTCCCTTGATCTGAAGGAGGATTCACCCTTTACTCTTGAAAGGGGGCATGATTGTAGCACCCATATCTCATATCTGATGAGGGGTCAAGTAGGGAACCGTGCGCAGAAGAATGGATATGGTGGAGCACCCTTCCACGGGTTGAGTCCACAGTATACAAAGGGTTAATTGCAGTGTATCCTCCCATGACCCCCAGACACGGCCAGGATTATGTGAACCTGATGCAGCGCGCGCGTGACATCTTGGTGGAAAGCTACAAAGCACGCTCACACGACAGAGAGAGAGTGTGAGAGAGAGGCTGCTGAGACAAAGAGTGAGAGAGAGAAAGACAGAGAGAGTGAGGGAGAGAGACTGCACAGGCAGAGAGTGAGAGAGAGAGAGAGAGAGAGAAAGGGAGAGAGAGTGAGGGAGAGAGACTGCACAGGCAAGGAGAGGGAGAGGGAGAGAGAGTTGACGCGAACTGCGGCGAAACAGTCCGTGTGTGTACGGATCAACACCAGGAAGTAGCGAAAAAATATATATATACTTTCAAAACAACGCCATCGCCACACTGAATGCCGACTTGGCACACACCAAAACTCAGGATGATACCTGAAGGAAAAGCGGTCCCCCGACCGGTTTCGTCCGTTCCGCGACGGATCCTCATCAGGAGGGTGGAACAAAGTCATTTTGCCGAAAGAGAGGGCATTCAGCCATGTCATCTCGTACTTATCCTACTTGCAGCGCCGACTCTCGTTCTCGTACGTATACCCTGGCTTCTGCTACCACAGAGGTGAGTGCCCTGCAAGCAATCAAACACTACTGTATTTAGATCCACCAACCGCAGGGATGCCTCACCTTTATCGAGGCTAAGCCAGTCCGATCATCAAGTCTGAGAAGGAGAACTGATCCTACATCACTTACTTCATACTATCTACTATGCGCTGGGTAGTCGGATGCAGCCACGTGCAAAAACCCGCTCCCCGGCGTACTACTTATTGCCTGTCTATCCCATCCAATTCCCCGCCCTTGGTCCTAGAAGACCCTCTGTCGTATCTGTGCATACGCTGTTCAAAATGATATCGACCCAAAACAGACAGAATGAGACAAAGATCTAAAATTACAGCCGAGTTGATTCCGTACTTGGTTCCGTATCAGCACGGTCTGCGTCGTAGCGAATACCGACAAAAAAACCGTCAGAGAAAACAAAACAAAAAACAGAACAAAAAAATAAAAAGTAAGCCCCGTTCCGTTCCGTTCCGTATCGGCGTGTCAGAGCAATCAAAAGCTATCCATCTTAGGCCTACCTAAGTTCGTCCCCACGAATTCGTGCTCACATGAGCCTGTTCCCAGGACCTTCATGGTCCCCGTTCGCGACTATTCCCACAGGCCAGGCCTAGTCCGAAAAAAGGTTCATTTACCCCACATATCGCTTGGGCACTATTCCCTGTATGCTTGCAAAGGCCTTCCAGAGTGCCTCCAGCATCCGATCGTCCGCAGCTCTAGCCAACTTGGCCAAAGCGCCGAGAGAGACCTCCGGGGGGTATCCCCGAAGGTGTGCTTCCCAGGTCGCATATGCAATGGGGCCAATGACCAGTGCCCTGCTGGTTGATTGTTCCCACAACCTTCTCAATCCTGCTGAAATTACAGCCTTCTTGGTGCTTTTCTCTGAGAAGGACGAAAAATCCTGCAGAGTCTGGAAGTGTAGTTTCCCAGTCTCTCTCAGGCAGTCTGTGTTCTTGGTCTTGGGCACGAAATACACCTGAGCTGGAGCCTTCGTGATGTATATGTCTCCCCCGATGAAGTGCCACATGTTTCGGTGGTCGTCCTTCCGAACCAGTTGCAGGTGGTTATCATAGATCCCTTCGAATTCATCTAGTATCTTGATGGCACGGTGCTCATCTTCGTCGTGGTCCCTAAAACCCACTATGACGGACACGTCATCCATGATACGTACCCCGCATACCAGTGCTCGGTCTGCGCCCAGTTCAGACAGGAACTTGTATTCTGTCATGGCGCAGGTTATAGATGCTAACACCGGACTCATGGATTTCCCCATCGGAATCCCGAATATCTGTCGCCCGATACTCTCCCCATACTTAACGAAGGCGTTCCTCAGATCGAACCTCACCGCCCTCATGATCTGATCCAACGTAAGGGTCACGTGACCCTCCGCTTTCCTCATCCCCTTACTGATTTTGCATAGCCTGCCCCTCCTTGAAACCCTGACCTGCTTCTAGCCCCGGTTATCAAACCAGATCGACAGTACCCTCATCGCGTCCAGGATAGCGTCGTGCGGGATCCTAGCGAACATGTCCTTTATATCGTAACACCTACCCGCCACCCCGACTGGCCGTTCCTTCCCCAATCTGAAATTCATCCCTCCTATCCTAGCCTTCAGATCCGCCACCGAGTTCAAGCACATCGAACTCCTCTCAGGAAATGTTACCAACATGTGGTGAAGCGCCTTCGCCACCCGCTTCTGGACAAGCACGGCTGGATCTGCGAAGGATGGAGCAATGGGTCTCCATTTTCCCAGATCTTTGTCCTTCGGTAGAACAAAAGCAGACCCAATCCTCCCATCCCGCTTCCAATCACCTATCTTGTCGAGCCCCTCATCAACGAATTCTTTCTTGTAGGCACGGAGCACTTCCGCCTCCTCTACCTGCATCTTTTCGTAGTTGCTGTTCCAAACGAACGTGGCACCGAAGCAGTGTCTGTAGAGCATTGGGCACATCACCGCCGTGTCGCCATTGTTTCTGTCTACTGGTGCCAGAATCAAGCCCTGGAGTTTCTCCGCCCATGCCCGCACCTCTTGGTCCGACCAAGCTCTAATCGCAACGGCCTTACCCTTGAAAACGCGCCCAGAGTCCACCGAGGGTCTCCCCACAGGCCCCAGGTGCTTCCCTGCTTCCCAGATTCTCTGCGCAATGTAACCTGGCTCACTATTCCCTTCGTGGAACGTGATGTTCCAGCCGTTTCGCATGAACGTCGGCACGTCTCTCATCTCAGCGAACCGTGTAAGGACATGACCGTCTTTCCTCGTCAAATCGAACCTCGCACAGGTGCATACAACAGGCTGGATATTCGAGGCCTTCTTGTGATTGTGAGTGATCTCAGCAACAGTTCTATTCTTAGTCCAAACGATTCGAATCCTGCCTTTAACGACGCTAGCCAGAGCCCTGTCCTTAATGCTATCATTGATCAAAACTTCCGCCACCCGCCTAACTTCACGTCTCATGATCCTTGGGTCATACGGTAGCTTCACCGTAATTCGTTTTCTAATACTGACACCTGTCTTCCGTCAAATCACCCGGTCGAGCTTCATTCGCAGCGCGTTCTTGGTCTTCTTCTTGGAGAAATTACCAGCTGCCTTGTACATCCCGATCAGCTTGTTCACCGTGTGGTTAACCAGTCCACATGCCATCTTCGGCGACTTCAGAATCCTTCGCAGCTCCTGCTTGTTGCGCTCAGCTGTTGTTGTTGTCCTGCATATCCTGATGAACACGAAGTCCCCGCCCCGCTGCAGCTCGCCCTTGGCATGCCTCAACAGCTTCTTGTACTGTCCCGACAGCACCTCCGTCATACCAAATTGCCTCTTGATCCCCCTCAAGTCATCTACCCAAGCTCCTCCCTTCCGAAACGTCAACACCTTCTTCTTCAGTTTCCCCACCCATGCTTGCTGCAAACAACTCAGCAGCGACAGATGTGTCGAGCCACCATCCTCAAAACTGACAGTGTTCTGATTGTACGTATTTACCCGCCTAGCGGTTCCTGCCCTCTGCCTTTTCCCTTTGCGTCTTCTTCTATGTCCTCTCTCTCCCCCTCCCTGCATCTGCATCCCGCATGTGTTCAGACTCGGGGATAGATCCCGAATGAGGTGCTTCTCGAAGGCAAGGTCCTCTTCCCTGCTGATGTGAAGGAGGGGAACTACCACAAAACGCTCAGGTCCAAGTCTTCGCATCCATCTGTAGAGCAGGGGGGAGATCCCCAGTACATCAGAGTAGGCATTCGCTAGGTGCTCCCACCACCGCTGCAGAATTGGCCTCGTCGTACACCCCACATATGACCTCCTTGCTCAGGGGCATATAATGATATACACCCCTGCTGATTCCAAGTTAAGGAGCAGATCCATTCCGCCTGCTGCGTGCCGCGTCATCACCTTAGATAGGTACTTCATTCCCCAAGGAATCTGGCTCCCCAGGTTGAGTAGAGCCGTGGTCGACGTAATGACCCTCTCGACATCTGCCGCCTTCGCTATATTGACGCCCTGCCCCCGTAGAGCCAGTCGGTGTGAGATGTAGACGTTGAGCGTCTCCCACAGACACCTGTTACTGGGGGGCCGTGACCGTCAGCTCGACTTAAGATCCGGCGCTCCGTGGGCGGATCTCAGAGCGACACGTTCAGATCTGGGTCGCGGCGTCACTCTTCCGGCGATGGGTGTCGTCAGCTTCGGGGTCTTCGCAGCATCCCTCCTATCTTCATCCATCATGGCCGGCCGTCGGACCACATCCTCGTCGAAGCCATCATATGCCAGCATTACCTGCCTCTTGGCTAGCTCCTCGATGATCAGAGGTTTCTTGGTATACCGAATCCCCTCCCTTACGCAGATCTTCCTGAGCGCGGATGCCTTCTCCCCCGCATACAGCTTATGCGCAGATAGACAATATTCGATCATCCCCTTCTGTGAGCATTCCGCCAGCATGTGCTTGGTTGCCACCGGGGTCACTGGTTCCTCCACCCAATGCAGTTCCGGACTCTTCCCTCGAACGCCGGCTCGGTTGTCCTTTGAGCATTCACCTCGAGCATGCTGCACTTGATTTCCCACAGGGGACTCATCCTTCTTCTTGCTGCCTCGTGCTTGCTTCTTCCCTTTCCTCTTTTGCGCCAACTTTAGTGCCCGCTTCGTGCTCTTTGCATGCCTTCGCTCATCAATGTCGGAGTCAGAGCTAGTATCTGACGTCGCGTCTTCCTCGGATGTTGAGGATGCGTCCTCACTAGAGCTTTCCATCTTCTTGGACTTCTTCCTGTATCGTCTAGTCTCTTTGATCAGCTCCTTGTCTTTCTTTTTCGATGGTGTGATCTTCCGAGTCGTAGGCAGCTTCTCGACTACCATTGCGTCGGCGGTTTTTGCCACAAGCGCCGCCTCGACAGCTTTCTGTTCCGCGATTTTTCCCGCCTGTATCGCCGCCGATTCTTGCTGCTGCCTCCACTGCCTTTCGATATCCGCCCTGAGTTCCATGCGGATCTCTTTCGTCGCCCTAACAAGATCCTGGGTGCGACGCCTCTCCTCCTCCCTATTTTTCCGCTGCTCTTCCTCTCTCTTCCTCTCCTCTATCTCCTACCTTTCCTTGATCAGGATATTGTAGTGGCTCTTCATATCTTCCATCTTTGGGTCTTTGTTCGAAGGCCTCCCCCGCCTTGACCAGCAGTCCCTCGCGAAGTGCCCGTATTTCCCGCAACTGTAGCATACCGTACCTCCGCCACCGTTCCCTCCTTCATTTCCGCCGTTCCCCCCTCCATATCCGTCGTTCATAGCACCATTGCCACCTCCGTGACCTCCGTTGTTACCGTTACCCCCGTACTCTCCGTCGTTCGGTCCGTAACCGCGAGACGCACCACTCCCTCCGTACATTTTCTCTCCCGTTTTGTTACTCCGGAATCACAAGTTAAGATCCCGCCTTACTACTACTATCTTCCCCTCCGGCTAAACGACCAATAGCTACGACACTCCCACTATGAAAAACCCGACCTCGAAGTATCACTCTGACGATGTGGACGACGTAGCCGCCGTACAAGCCTAAGAAACTCGTGGTTGCCACGATCCCTCGAGTTGAGGCGAACTGCGGCGAAACAGTCCGTGTGTGTACGGATCAACACCAGGAAGTAGCGAAAAAATATATATATACTTTCAAAACAACGCCATCGCCACA